CTTCTGTATTTTTTCCAGAGACACCAATGCTGATTGTAATTAAATCTGTAACTAAATTRGCTCTAAGTTACCTTTAATACATTAAAAAAGTAATTGTCTGTCCGGAAAGCRAATTACCTCATCTGCTGTTGTAGCAGAAAGGATTGTCGTGATTTTCTCTCCTGRTGAGAGTTTTACTTTTCCATGAACTACCATGGTTTTTTGCTATGAGCCGGATATATTTTTTTTATATATATTTTTTTATCCATGGTTCATGTTACTGCTTCCTATATGAGTAATATTAATATTGCATTTCAGCAAGTTTCCAGTTGGAATAAGAAGTCTATTGCATTTATTGTATATATTACACAGTTTAATCTAGGTACAGGTATATGCCACATTTGTAGTAATAAAAGTAAACTTGTCTAATTTCATCAAAAAGTTGAAATTTGGATCAACTTTTTTTTTGCACAGAAACAGATACTCAAAATACTGAAAAGAATATTTTTAATGCAGAGATTCTTGTATTTTCTGGAAGGTCTGAATGAGTGTGATAAAGGCCAGAAAGATTTTTATCAAAGTATTTTAAAAGATCTGAGAGAAACAACAGTGAAAAACTTTTCACTTCAATTTGAAGCTCTAAGGAAGTATTCAGGGAAGTGAATATAAAAGCTCTGTGAGACACAGAGGAAATGGAATCAGTGTGCAGATGCTGCCCCACCTTACACAGGGGAGCTGGAGGAMGCTGTTTGTACTCTACTCTGATTTTCATTGTATGAAAGGAGCTGGTTACATGAGCTCAGCTTTACAGATGCTGAATCTAAGACTCAGCTTGGTGGTGTTYATCTTGCAACCATAAGTCAAAAATCCTAATCACATGTCGGAGTCACGTTGGGAGGGGTGTTCTGCTTAGGAGCAGAAGGGTGTGGAACTTGTTTAGCTGACGATCTAGAAATAAGTTTGATTGCATCATGGCGATTGTCACATTTGTTTGTGAAACAAACTTCTTRAGTGATGATAAAAGTGGCCTTGAGTGGTGTTGGTTCTGAATATTGAAAGAAAGCAGGTCTTAGGGCAGAGGGGAGTACAAACATTGCACTTCTTACAGCATSTTAACTTTGTTATGAGTTTGTAGCTATTATCCTGTTGTGTTCAAAATACAGCTGTTCCCAATAACAGGCATTGGTGCTGTTTAGTGTATTTCGCTGTGATGCCATTATAAACACAGAGGATGGTTAGATGATGTTTTGTGATACTGTCTTCTGCAGGACTGATACTTCTTTTATCCTGCTGATGGGTCTGGTGCATCCTTGGAAATCCTGTGAGAGGCCACTGAAAACCAACTATGGCTGCTTTGCTCCTTTGCTTGTAAAAAAAGCAATTGTCAGATTGTTGTGGATGAAGAGGAGGGGTTAAGACAGCAATTCAACTTGCTTGTAAAAGAATACATTTTATGAATAATTAGAAAGCTGCCTGGAAAGAAATRCTTTAGTTATATGTGTGCACAGCATATTTTGGTAATTTTAAGGAAAAGCAAACTTCAGCCACTGTTATGGAAGACATTTTAATAAAGTGTTAAGTGTAGTATATCAATCCCCTTTTCCATTCTTTGTTTCCATAAATGAAACAAGTGTAGGATTGATAAGKATGTATTATGATATTTTATTGTCTAGATAATTATTTTAGTGTACAAGGAGTAAGAAATGAAACTGAAATCTTAACCTCATCTTTATATTGACTTCACTGGAGCCATTTCATTCATCAATGGTACATGCTTGCTCAAATCAGGAAAGGGTAAGGGAAGCCAAGGGTATGGGAGACAAKGTGTGATACACTAAATATCATTTGGACAAATGAGGACATGAAGTTCATGAAGTCTCAGAAAACTTTATTTCTCTAAGATGCMCTTTGCACTGTCTTCCTTTTTTCCCACAAGCAGCTTTTCTTTCTCATATTTATTCTATTCATCGTTTTCAGTGTTCATTGATGTTAGGGTAGGTAATCAGAACACTTTGCAGTGTTAACACTTTGTTATCAGCTATGTCCTTTTTAGTCATGGAAGTGAAATCCCTTGCTCTGGAAATTCATGTTCAAACCATTGTCATCACTTCTACCGAAACCACCCACAAACTCAGTGCTCTGAACCTACAGGTGTTCAKTGCTGTAAAGGACTTGGAGTCACATAGTATAAGGGTTGCCCTAAAACTTACTGTAAGTTTTCATTGGACTAGTTAAAAAATAAAATTGGCTTTGTTGAATATTGAGTTATTCTATGTCTGACTCTTACAATGCAGAGGCCAATCCTATTCCTTTCTGCTGCATTTCTTCATAGATTCATATCTTATGCTGTTCTACTGTTCTGCCCATCAGGTTGAGCTTTGCTGTAGAAAAGAAAATTTATTTGTACAAAACAATACTTTTTAAAAATCCAGCTTTTTATTTGATTATTGTATTTGTATATAAGGTTCTAGATTCTTRTCCTGTCACTAGCTCACTATTAGGCATGTCAGTTGATGGAGGAGTTTGGAAAATTACATTTCTGAAGACTGCTCCAAATTATGGCAAAACTCAGTGTAACCCACTGATTTTTCTCATTGTAATACCAGTAATTCATAAATAACATTTTCATTTGCTGAGTATTTTGTCTACCTTTTTTTTTTCAATTGCAAAAGACTCCAAGTATTGTAAGTCCTACATACAGCAAAGACAGAACCAGTGTTATGAGCCAAAATTCAGYGAAGTAAATTGGAGCATGCAATGGAATTATCTATGTGGCTAGATGGAATAAGTGGGGAATTTTGGCTAAGAATGGAAGTCAAACTCTAGAAATTACAGACAGTGATGTATAATCCAGAAAAGAGCTGTCAGGATCCAATTTAATAGTACTTCTTCTGTCTGTCTTCACTTCTCCTTGTGTGTGTAGAGATAATGGATCAAATCTGTTCAGTTTGCTCTTCAAGTGGGAGCAGTTGAGATTTGAACCAGTTGTACTTTGGACTTTGGGAAATTACAGTCCCTTAGCTGAGCACCTGGATTCAACATTTACTTTAGTTTGCTTAAATTATCAACAGCATTTATKAAATTATCAGTCTGGTCAGAAATTAATATGAAAATGTAAAACTCTATCCTCTGCTTCTGCTTTAAATTCAAGCCGCCTGGAAAGAGATGACTGCGCTTACTACTTGGCTGTAATTGAAAACCAGGTTTTCAGAAATATATTGRAATCATTTGAAATTCTCCTTTTTAATCTCTCACCTTTTAAAAGCTCTTTGTRTTCTGTATCTGTTCAGCTTCACTGTGACTCTTTCAATAAAGTGTGGTTACAGAATAGCTTGAGAGATAAAAATAATTTTTCCTTTTAACCTTTTATGCAGAGTTTTTTAAAGTGTCTCTGTAAGTTAGAAAAACCTAGGATATACATGAGAAAGCGAATGAGCAACAGTTCTATTTTTAAATAAAAATCATCCTTGCAGCACAGGATAGATGTTCATCTGCCACAACTTTTGTCAGATTTTTRTCTTTGTGGTGTGCCCTCATTAAAAACATCTCTATGAACTCTTCTATTTTAAAAGAATTTTAGGTTAACCTTCTGAAAATATCTTAGTATTACTTAGCTGTAATTGGAGGGTTAAGTTAGAATGAGGATTGAAGTTTTCCACAGTAATTCATTGTTGTCAKTGAGGAAACATTTCCTAGTTCAGAGACATTCTGGTTTATTCTTATGGGATAAGCAAATAACATGTTCTTTTTTTTCCATGCTTGCTATTTTGTCTGTATTTAATCATACCCTAAATTGTAATGTTTCATTGCTAGCAGTCCCCCAGCAAGATCTTCTTGTGGTGTTTTTCTTCACACATCAAAAGTATTCATAACTGCACGTGCAGAATTCTGGCCTGATTGCTCACATCTCTCTGGGGTTTAAAGCTCTGTAAACATAGATACCTGGAAGATTAATGAACGCTTAGGGTGAAAAACAAAACAAGGAAGTTTTCCACCTGTTCTTGAAYAGAACTTGGTTATCGTAAATTAGTGTTCAGAAACACCAACACCTGCACTGTGCTGTTAGTTCTTTGTGGACAAACACATCCTTAATAGGAAGCACCATCAAAATCAGGAAGAGCAATTGACAGTTGTAGTATGATGGGAATGCAGTTGTTGGTATAAAACAATATTAGTTTACTTTGCATAAATAATTAAGTCCTGTGGTCCCCTGAAGGYTTTGTGTAGACTGCAGACTTTGGAAGGAGCAGAGTTCTGTCCAGTCACGCTCCTGGAGTTCTCCTCCACTTTTTCCTTGTCTAATCAGAGATTTATAAACAGTTCGGTGTTTCTTTGAAATTTCATTAGTATGTGTCTGTGCAGATACAGGTAATATGTCATAATATTCTCTTTGATGCATATTGGAAGCTATTTCTGAACACCTACTGGCATAATAATAYTGAAATTCATATTTAATCCGTACATCTACAGAATAGTACAGAAGAAGATAGTGCTCAAATATGTGTATAGTGCTTCAGTGAACAAATCAAAATGAGGTGTCYACACTGCATGAACAAGACAGATCAGAATATGCTTGGGATTGTCYTTATTTTATATTAATTAAAAGTAATGTGGGGTATTATAGGTTATGGTCTTGGTGGGTTTGTCTAGTGTTACTCAAGTTACAGTTTTCATTTGCCAGACTGACTGTTTTGGTTGAAATKTTGCATTCTAGATGTCTGCCTATGGAAAATTTCCTTTGAAAATTTCAACCAAAATATTCCAAATATTCMGAAGAATGAGGTTATTGGAAATATACTCCTCAGTATTTTCTAGAGACCTTTAAAATCTGTAACTATTTAACATTTGAGCAGAGCAACTGCCRTAGTATCTTATGAACATAGAAGGGGACTAGTAAGGTCCTTATCTATAATCTTAATTCTTGGAGTTGCTATGTTTTAATGTTTACTTCAYGATGCTGTTTTATTGCCACATGGGTGTACAGCAGTTTAACCTGCAGGATTGGTCTCATTTTGCTTTAGATTGTTGGTTGCCAAGTCAGAAGAGAGCCACTGGACTCTACTGAACGATACACTCGCTGGATCAATAACCTGACTCAGGAACAACTTCTTACACAGGTATTTTTGTTTCAACTGTGTCTGAAATTACAGCAGGAAAATAGAACAAGAGGTTTATTTGGATGGATTTTTTTCAGTCATAAGCAATACTTGATAGTTTATTAAGGTTATTGGATTCTCATGTTTAAACATAGTTTGTTCAATAGAAGCCAAGTTATGGTGCATGTGGTCATTGCATAATAATGACTTCACATTGAGTGACAATGAAGCTTTCAGGTTTGGAGTGAGCCTTACATGTCTCACTGCTGTCTGTGATTAACTACATATATCTTCATATTCTAATAATTAGGGTCTTCTTTTCAAAAAGCATATTTGAATACAGAACGGGAAAGAAATCTTTCTTAAGAATGATTCTTCTCCCACCCAAGGTACTGACCACTCCTGTATCTCTTTGAGTTTTGCTTATGATCGTTTTAAAACAGCAGTTCTTCAGGCATTAAACATTAGGCTCCCTGTACATGTTTGTAAGTGAGATGCATCTTGTGCAACTGAAGCTGACAGTTCTGGCATAAAGAATGGTTGTTAATTAGGCAGGAGGCCAATGCTGAACTAAAATAGAGACTGAAAGAGACTTTGGAAAAAACAAGTTAAGCTGTGGAAGAAATCAATCCAGCTTGTGGAGGAATGTTGTACGGAATATAAGAAATCTAATGGATGGTTAGCAGAAAACATCCCAGGAGGCATTAAGATCCAAGTATTTGGGCTCGGGTCTTGGGATGCTATGTTAAGAAGACATTTGGTTTTGATTTCCCTGGATTTAAGTGGTTGAAAAGATTAACATATCCTTATTTGTTAGACTTCATTGTAAACTGTGTTTTGTTCCCCATTACCCTAACTCCAAAAACATACAGGCCCTGCTGTGGGCWTTGTAACACAAGGAGTTATCTACAGACCTTGTTTTCAAATCAGCAGCAGTATTATGGCTCCCTGTAATTCACCAAGGGAAAGTAATTACAGAAAAAGTTACCCATGGAATATTTAGATTTGCCTGTGAGTATGGCATTAGAAAAAAAAATACATATTTAAACCAGTGTATTTATCTAATGACAGCATCTGGATCACTGTTTTGGTGAAGAGAAAGAAAAGCTTGAGGATGTAAAATCTTGTCCTACACAATCTGMAGTGTTTCATCTAAATGGCCAATGGATCTTTGATGAATTGAGCAAAAGTTAAAAGAAATATTCTGATTTTGAGATTATTTAAGGAAGAGTATGTAAAAAGCCCCATTATTTTAAACAAGATGGGAATCTGTGTGTTCTCAAAGAGATGATTTAATRCAGTGTTTCTGAGAGTAGGATGCAAACACGATGACCTGCGAAGTCCTGTGCAATCTTATGTGCTACAAATATCTCTTAAAGCCTTAATAAATCCATTATTTTTACATAATAAKATAATAATAATAAATAAATATTTATTTTTACATAATTTAGAGTCACACATTTTCCAGGTAGATTAGCAATTTTGGATAATACATTGGGTTTAGAGCTAGAAGGCTGCATAGTGGAACTTGTGGTACTTACCCATGAGTTTATTAAAGATGAGACTTACAGAGTCACACTATTTATATGTTCCTCATTATTTTTTAATATGTTACCTGTTCTCCACTAAGTTTAATGCAGAAACAGCAGTTCCTGAAAGACAGTAAATGTCTGAGAATTCTGTGAAAGTTTGACGTTTTGGAGAAACTGTGCTGCACTAGCTGCAACTCATATGTTGTTACGTACCACAGAATCCCCTTGGAGGGAGATTTTAGGTGCCCAGTTATCAGAAAAGCTTTAGCTATGAAACAAGCCTGGGGCAGCTTGKTTTTTCCTTGGAGCTAAAAGAACTGCTTGGTTTCCAGAGCATGTCAGCACRTGGCACTTCTCTTGATTTTGTATCTGTTCTTCCGACTAGAAATTCAGGTAGAGAGATAATTATTTTGCTTTTTCTTACTTAAAAGTGTATGGGACAGAGGAGGAATTGGGACTAAAAGCCATCTCAGCTGTACTTTAATAATCAGGGTATGAATCAATTATCCAAGGTTAGGCCTGATTTGTCCCACCCACTCCAATACATAATACGCTTTATTTTGGCTGTGGTTTTTAAAAACTGTCTTCAGTACATRAATCCCAAAAAACTATAATGATGGACCTGTGCTAATGGATTTGTACAATCTCTGGCAGGAGCAGTCCTTTGGGGAAATCAGGAAAATTGGCTTTAATTGACAGCACATTGTGTCTAGCAGATTCCTATAGTGAAAGAATGTTTAGAGGGTTTTTAGCTGTCTCTGTACTCAGTGCCCAGCTCTTTCCAGTCACTTCTGCTGYATTTCAATACCATGAACATGCAGATTATTTGTGCTGGAAATTGKGAAACAAAGCGGCCAATTAAAAAATGGAAAAGAGCCAATTGTCAATATCATGTCATCCCCTATCATAATGTTCATGTTATTGATCAGAAAATATCCTGTGGCATTTGATTGCTCTAGTGCACCCTGTCCAGAGCCAGGTTTCAGAAGGGTGGGTGGTTTCAGAATGGTAGATGTTTTGGTAGGTGCCTTCAGACACCTCCATGCWGGATGCTGGCTTTAAACTGCTTGGATCAATACCAGATTTTTGGATCAAATGTCCATCCCCTGTCCCCATGGTGGGAGGATCATTCAATACAAAATGCTGCCAGCATTTTAACTTTTCCCTTAGCCCTGGCCTCTTGATGCTTACTCATCTGTTAAATGTTTCTCTAAACAATTATACTGTAACATTCCAAAGATACTTTATGGTATGCGTGAAATTTCAGAAAATATATCCCAGAGAGTGTGGTGGGAGCGAGAGAGTACAAAGAGAGCATGATAATGGAAAACCTACTTTTTAAAAGATCCGTATTTGCTTCCTCGATGTTATCTTCTGTATAAAAGACACATGATTAAACCACACTTTTGTGGGTATACTGATATAAACCTTAAATACATGGATATGTGTTCTGGAAGACTTGCTCTTTCTGGCCAAGAGTAAAAAAATAAAAATGGATAATTGTAACTGTTCAGTAAGTGCAGATCACAGTGATGGGTRCAGGAAGAAAATGAGCAAACAAATTAAGAGAACTGACTGTTTTGGTGGTGGAGTAAGTGGAAAAAAATGTAGATTAAAACTAATCCGACTAAACGATCTGAGTCCAAATTATGCTTGTAAATGTGCTTGTGATTGAGATTTCATCATGCAGCCCTTCTTTTACACTGGAAATGTTTACTGGGCTGCATAAGTGAAAAGGTCTGAATGGTTTTAAGGTTGGATTAATTGCACAAATATTTATACAAGTAATTTTTAAGGACTGTTGCTGACTGTAAGTAAAGGAGCTGAGTTCCTGACCACATGTGTTAAATCACTGTTTTCTGTTAGTTTAGTCTCACAGCCTGTGAAGTATTCTGTTCAGCCTGAAGCACAATTCCATCTGACTTACCATTTTTTCTTCCTCWAAGACAAGATATTTCCATGCCTTCATGTGGCTAGGAAACAGGGAAGCACTTGGGAAGCAGGCAGGAAACTTAGATGACTTGTGAGGAGACTCCTGCCAAAAGGAATGGGCCTGTGGATGATAAGAATGGTTTGCCTGATGTAGATAAGTAACTCTGGAAAAGCCACAATGATTCTGGATTACTGTGTCTGTGTGACTTCCTGATACATGCTGGACTTTGCAGGTTATTTTGGAGCTCTTGGTGTTGGATAAATCTGGAAGTTGTCACAGGTGATTTATAGTTCTTACCAATGATCTCTCCCAATCACCTGATAAAGAGCAATAATTGACATGTTTCATAGCACACACCTCTCTGTGTGCTAATAGATGCCTGTTACATTTAGCTGACAGGTTTAAAAGCTATTCTTCTCTACTTACTAAGTATTCCTGTATTAGAGTTTAATTAATATTTAATAAAGATTCATGCTACAAATCAGCATTTACTACAAATGCTTCATTTAGAAATAGATCCAGCATTGTGGTGGAGTCAGAGCAGGTAGCTTGTTTTTAAGGCAGGACTTAACAGCATGGCTGGACCTCTTCCATAAAGTCAGTGCACTCAATATTGCTTTAGCATCATGTGTTTTAATAGGGAGCTTCACAGTGGTCAATATCTGGTAGGAGAAATTGCAAGTAGGATGAATTTTCCAGGTGGGCCACAGATTGAATATCTCTGGCTTACAGCATCTGTTTTGTCTACCCGCAGACAGAAAATTCCACTGGTGCTTGGGTTGGCTATCCRTGCATCACAGCTGAATGAATAATCAAGGCAGCAATCTGAAAGTGGATGTATGAAATGCCTGTTGTCTGGTTATGTTAGTAAAGGCAAAAATTGGCCAGAGCAAAAGGCTTTCTTACTTAAGAATGAATAAAACATGAAAAGGCTGATTGAAATCCCCTCCACCCTCCCTGTCTCTCCCCCCATCTTTGCCACTATTAATGGYTCACTTGTGTTTGTCTTTCAATATAAAGATACTCAACACTTTCTTGGGATTTTTTTGATCACTGTTTCTCTTCCTTGACTCATGTTATCTAAAAATGTGGCATTAATAKTGAGGTTGTGATGCTTTTCTATCGAGTAAAACAGCCAAAGTTACTGGCTATTACAGCAGTTTTTAGTGGTTTATATGGGATTGAGCCTATACCATATAAGAGAAAAAACAACTGTCTGCTTCCTTTTGTGGTTGATCCTTGTTCTCCTCTGGAGGAGAATGAACCAAAGTTTCACAAGCTTAACAGTGTTTATATTTACATGTGAAAATACATGTCAAAGGGTTCATGGAATTCTAGAAAGTTTAATGAGAAGTGGCTTAGCCACATCTGTGAACTCAAAGCACAATTAGAACTTCCCAGTGAGGCTTTATGAAAAGGCAGCTCAGGGTCACATATTTTGAACTTAGAAACAGGTTTGCTGGAATTCAGAAATGTATACAACTTGTGCTTTGTGTGTGTGCTGTTTTGCATGAGTTTAAAGGTGTCCCACAGGGGAAGGAGTGTTAAATAACTTG